AAATGTTCTTTTATAACAAAGTTCAAATTCTAATAAGAAAGTTCAAACAGAATAAGGTTCGAGATTTAGAAAGTCTATTTGTTTAATGGAATGATTTTCTTCAACGTACAGTATTTCCTGTTATAAATGGACATAATTCATTTAATGCAAAATATAAACTCCCAAAATTAACTATCAAACAAAGCTTCTTGAGGGAAGACAAAACAATGGCTTGCACAGTACAAGCTTAAGTAAATGAAAGAATCGGCTTCCAGGGCTAGTGTCAATAGATACTTGGCTGTTATGGAGATGTCGCATCTTAGGCACATTTGCCAATTTTAGTCATCATACTGCGACCCTCCTGCGGATGGAGTGTGTTTCCAAGATGCCTAGAAACACCTATTTTATGTGTCAGGGTGTGGTTTTCACTGCTCCTTTGCTGTACCGACCAGAGGTGGTATCCATCTCTTACCCCACCCATCAGGACCGTTGCATGAATGGCTGATGCTCCTCTCTGGATTGATCGATCGTGAGACCAAGCGGCAGCCATATGGACAGGGCCCTCATTCTTTATAAACCCTAGCGCAGTCTTCCTTGGCACAATTCACCCTGAGGAATGTTAGTTTGATGGTCAATGTGCTGACAACTATGCCTTGAACACATCATCTTCCAGACTGCCAAGTGTCTATAGGCTGAAGCAAGAGCCTCATTATTTGTACTGTTGGAACACAAATTTTCTGCTCTTTAGAGGATCACTGTCAATAACTTGATGAGATGGACCTGAACGCTACAATGTCTTTTCATGGGAATTTGACTTCTGAAGCACCCTTGCCATTGTTAAGTTGGGCATATCATGAAATAATTCAAAGCATTTTGGGGAAAGTTTAATATTGCACTGTTAAGTAAACAACACTTATTGCCATTTTCCCCATATTTAAGCCATCAGAAAAACAAAAAAGGCCCAATTGCAGCAATTTATGTTTTGTAGGTTCTTATATAGTAATTATCAATTTAGTGAGATGAATTAACACAAGTGTAAAGGTTAAGTGAAAAGTGGCTGGAAAAAACAGAAGAGTTCATGAAATTTGAATTATAAATTATTCACATCACTTTCTTTCATATGAACATTTCATATCAAACGTAATCTACTAATATTTTAATACGCTATAGAATTTGCAAATTGTTTAAAAGCTGACTCTCTAAATGGTAATAATATATCTTCAAATAAATGGCTCACCTGACAAAACAACAGCAATAAGAAGAACAATGAAGGAGCCTGAGAACAGACCGACTTTGAAAGTTGTCCAGGGGCTCTGCTGCTCCCCGAGAGGAGGCACTCGCAACCTCTTCATGGCCTTCTGCCGGTCCCCACCCTCCAGCTCTTGGGTGACCATTGTCTCAGTCTCACGAATAAGGCGATCAATATCTTTGTTTGTGTTAAAATGAGAGGACTCCACATTTTCCGTTCTCCACCGAGCTCCAATGTCAACACTGAGTAACTATAAAAGAATAAAACCTAATAAAAGATTTTTAATTACGCATAGATATTGCAGTTAGAGAAATTTAAATATATAATTTTGACATGAATGACTGGAATCATCATTTAGTTAATTGACCCATTTAGAGAGTTCATAGAATAAGTTTGGCATCTTGGGTTTAGGAATTCAGAATCATATAGTAGGATATCAGGAAACCAGAATACAAAGAACTAACAAGAGTGTATCCACGAAGCACAGTGAGAGATTTTATTGAAGAAATAATGTTAACTTTCTTTTCTTTCTGACATCATTTAAAACATATTTATATATGTTTGCTGACTCCCAATTAAGAAACCTTCATTCCTTACATATCACATACAAATATGGAAATTTGAAGTGAAAAATTACAAGATCAATTATACATCATGAAAGAAACATTTCCCTAGACAAAATTCTCTATTTATAGAAATGTAAAGATCTTAAATTACCCTGTGATGAATGAAAAGTAAGTAGATGTTGTAAAGGTGGCTCAACACAGCCCTAAATAAAATAAACCAATGTCATTTCAAAGATAAAAATTAATATTCCAAAATATTATCTATTACATACGCATTACATATTTACAATAGGTCTTCCAATACCCTTGCATGTGCTCTATGCTTTTATATTTTGAATAAGGAAATGCTGTGGACTATTAATACATTAACAAATTTACACACAATACATTAACAAGAGCAGTAAAACAATAACATATTGAAGAAAAATTTCACAACATATGAAGCTATACCTCTTTTTTAATATTTTTTTTTTTTGGATTGGTAATAAAATAACAGATGCATAGCATGCAGCAAAACACTTTCTCATTTTACTGTGAGTTTATTTTGTACTCTTTTCCTTTTCATTTATTTATGTGTGTTTGTTGTGATAAAATACTAGCAAAAGAAGTTTGTATTTTATTGTCATTTTCTTTTCTTTTGTATTTGTGTTATTTTTTGCACGTGTTTGTAAGCATTAGTTGTCATTACACTTTGTTTTTGATTAATATTTCATTACATGAAATTATAATTGTTTTATTATATGTACAATTATTTAAAATATTAATAAAACATTTAAATTGTATTTATGGGGGCTTCAAGGTGCTTTACTTTTACGAAAGTTTTAAAAAATTTGAGAGGTATTTTTGGTCCAGGGAAAATTTTGCCAACGTTGCACGTTAGCCATTCCACAGCTCCATGCATCTCATCTGCAACTGCCATACGTTCATAATCATCATTTCTGTACATCCTAAAGCATGGACAGCAGCAATGATTATGAACACAAAGATGATATGGGCAAACAGTACTCACGAGGGCAGAGTGAAATATAAGAGCACCTGATACGCCCATACATTCCACCCCACTATACAATGTGGGATGGGTAGATTATCTAACTGGAAAAAACACCCTTAACATTTGTATAAGAGTGCTTTTTTTCCATTTCGGAAATAGCTTTAGCAGACCATGAGTCCCATTATTATGTGGCTTGAAACTGTCCAAATCTTACAAATTTGAATTGCTTAGCCTCAAAAGACAAATGGTATTAAATGGTAAAACATTTTCTTTATAACAGCCTATTTGTTAACCAGATCTTAATTTTTTCAAGTTGAAGATGAAAAAACACCAAGAGAAAAATAATTAAAAAAGGAACAATAAAGTTTTTCATTACCTTATCATGTTTCTTCAATATTTTACGAAAACCAGTGAAGTTAAGGTTTTGGTAATTCTGAAGTAAAATTAAACTCAAGTAAAATTCACTGAAAGCCAGCTTCAATTCTTGAATTTTTCGAGCAGGAACATCTTTCTTTCTCAAGATATTTGGCCCATGACTTAAAAATCCCTTTTTGCCATGAAACTCATCTTCAAGATATTCACTCAATTCACTTCGCAAATTTGCATGCTTCCTGGTAGCTTCCGCTAGCTTCTCTATAAAAGAAACACAATAATAACACAAAAATAAAATTAATTGTCATTGTACTGTCTTTACTTTATGATGCACTGCAAAATGATTGTGATAATATACAATAATGGTTCACAGCACACTCCAATACAAATTGTAAGTTATACACATATCTTCTGACAAAATATAAAAGGTTGTTGGGATATATACACTAATAACAAACAAATTGGAAATATACAATCAAACTGGCAAACCAATGTGCAATTAGCTTTTTAGAAATATTTAGGTCTTTCAATTCAGTCAAATCTCAAATGGAAAGGCAATACTAATGAGTTTAACACTAAATTAAGTCCATTATGTTTAACATTCATAAATTTCAATTATCCAAAATTAAATTTTAGAAGTTTTATTTAATGTCAAAAACTATTAAAACCATGTGCGAGCAGTGCTATCTGTGCTCATTTTGTTGTATTTGATTAATTATGAATAAATGTAGTAATGACAGTCTTTGCCAAAATTTGATAAAAACTGCTCCTGCATAAAAAAAACTATTTGGAATAGCTGACATTATCAATTTATTTTATGAGTTTGATGGTTGTATGTGTGCAGAAGAGATACAGCAAATAAGGATAACATCAGCGATGGTAATCTAACTTCTCAATTCTAAAATGAACAAAAATTTTATGAAATTGCATTTTAAAACAAATGCACAATTCTGAGTCACTTTTTAAATGCTGCTCTTGAGACTTAGTCTGAAAAAGGAAAATAATTGAGTGAGTGTGAGAGAGAGAGAGTGGAAGTACGCAGTTGTCTTAAGCAACTGGGGTTTTTAATTATTTCTGAGGATAGATACTCCTTAATGCAATACACAATGAAATAAATTAATAACAATTTGTGTGAAATGCAATATCATTATAAGAGCTGTTTAGAACATTTCTCCCATTATGTCATTCACGACTAAAAAAGGCCTTTGTTTGTAACAAGGAGAAAAGAAAATGTTTATCTCTGAAATCCCTTCCCTAAATTGAAATTTAAAAAATCCCCCTTTTTAGTATTATTTCTTTATGACTTCAGCACATTTAGGGTTTCAGATTTTGTTCTCACTAGTTTGTTGAATTAATATCTAACCAAACAAACAACCCTTAAGAGACAACAAAGAATTAATTTGACTTCCTAAAATTTAATATAACAATCATGATAAAACATGATGAATCAGAAAATGATAAAAACTTCAGAAATGTAGAATAACGTTTAATTTGTCATTTCAAAGAATATTTTAACAACAAAGAGATTTGATATTACTATACTTAACTTGCCAATTAATAAGTAAGTGAGAGAAAACAATACACATAACTTAAAAATGATGGATTCTTACCTGAATAAAATGTATTTATTTTTGTCAATTCTTTGTCACAATAATGAAAGAACTGTTCATCGAATTTTGCAAAATATCGTGTTAGAACTTCAGGCTCAACTAATTCAGCTGATGGAGCTTGTTCAACTGCCGCATATAACATTGCTTTCATTTCCTAGTCACACAAGATAAAAATTCAAATCAAAACTTGTTTACACCATGACAACTCCTTATGAAGGTGAAGTTTATCTTACCTCATAATTAATATACTGTTTCCTCCATTCCGGAGTTATATGAGCACTTAAGTGCTCCGTAAACTTCATGTTAATGAACTATACGTCAACAGCTTTTGAAACAGAAAATTGCTCTATAACAACAAAGAATTACTTGAATATTTATTCATTATTCCGCCTTAACCTAACTAAAACAATTACAACACTCGTCGATAACTGTCTCTTTAAAGTTGAAATAAGAAGACTGTTCCGACGCTCTCTACTTGAAAAATTGTGATTTAAAAAAAACATTATATTACTGAACCCAAAGTATTCATTGCATTAAACGTCAACTGGACGACAACTTCAAAGTAATCAGTAAAATTAAGCACTTTTACGAACGAAATGTATTCTGACCGCACTATTTGTACACTTGGCACATCAGTGGCAATTAAAAATAAACTGAGACTACGTGCACACTTAGCTTACATTAAACAATGACTAAATCCAAATTGGACAATTTGTTTCATTTCAGTTCATCTTAACGTGTTAAAGTTGCTTGTACTGTCTTCGGCGATTCGACGAATACTGTTCGGAGTAACAGATGACGGTACAGATTGCAATGTCTGAGAGAACCATTCAGAATGACGATATTAGTTTCCTCCTCGAACATTGGTTGAACGTCAGCAGGGTAGCAAACCTCAGCACGAGAAAACAAAATTTCGCAAAGGTTGAATTTTATTTGGAAGGTTCACGTTCTCTGTATTTCAATCCAATGAGCCATGGCACCAGTGCATTTAAGTGTGCGTAGATGTTTATCGAAAGAATTATTTTTTCTAGGTCTGCGAGAAAGACCATCAAATTTCCTGGACTTTTTTCGAAACGTAAGTATTATATGGCATTTAAATGAAGATTCCAACCTCAATTCTTTATGATTATGTTTGTCCATTATTTACAATGATTGTTGCATTTAGTATGGTAGTCGACCCAGATTATCTACTGAAATCAATCAGGATGTATTGGATTCGATTGCAAAAGGAGACTATAAGCCAAAAAGACATGCAGGAATTATAAAAACTATTAGCAGTACATTGCCCAAGCCTGTAATTGATAATATTCATGCCGCTCTTAAAGGTAGGTGTTTTAACTGTCAAGAGGAGAATGCTTTTCATAAGAAAACATTTTACCTGGTTGTTGTTATACAGACCAACCTCTGAAAGCACTGGCAGCCCAAGGCATAAAGTTAAATCAGTACCTGAATTCAAGACATCTTCCTTGTGAAGAAGATGAATTAATAAATAGACATGAACAAGCAGCTTTGCATGTTGAAAAAAAGTGTAAGTAAACAAATGTATGCAAACTTCCTAAAGTGATTGCATTCCTATTATTGTGATAATGTGTAGATCTGCATGGAATCAAGTGAAATCTTGTTGATTATCTTGTATAAATTCATTTGAGTGAAGAATTGAATGTGATCTAGGTATTTTTTTATTTTTTGCGCAAGTCAATTCCAGTTTATTAAATGGGTCTTTACTAATTATTGTTTAATCACTATATTTTTAAATCTTTTGAAAGCATTTAATATTATTGTCCTTACTAAATATTTCTTTTATAGTTAACTTCTTATGGAATTAGCAGCATTGGTTTACATTAAAAATCTTACATTAAATATTGATATCAGAGAGTAGAAATACCTCTGTGACATAAAAGCACATTTTATTATACTTAATTTAAATTCAATGCTGAGTAAGTATGAGTTCTGAAGGTTTAGATAATAGGTTTTGTTTAACTTCTTCTATGTGTAAATAATATGCCCTTTAGAAATGGAAGAAAACTTCTCTTTTCAGAAAATAAAACTACATTTTACGATATGAAACTGTGTGTAGCATAATAGTTATAAATGATTTTTGGAATTTTAAATGAGCAATTGCGGAAGCCATTAAAAATGAACTTTGGACAGTGAGCTGTTAAAAAAGTTTTTGGGGGTCTCAATTTAATCACATTTCAAATAGAATGCCATTTTAGTGGTCAAGGGGAAGAGAAGGCTAAATGGCTTGAGCGTTGCCAAGCCATTTGGCCTTCCTACTAAAGACATTGTTTTATTTATTTATATATAGGAATTTAGTGCAAAATTATGAACATCATATTACACGTTCAGAATTCTTTCCAATTCTGATGTGAATTTATATTCCTTCATGAGATATGTCAATTGTTTGGGGAAACATGTTCATGTAATTCAAAAACTCCAATTTCAGAAGAAAATTGGACCAATACTAGCCCACATATCAATATGACCCCAGCAAGTTTATCTTCATTGACTGTAAATCTGCCATTGCCTTATTAAGAGTAAGTTGATTTTGTCAAACTGACATTCTGAAGGGAGGGCGACTTTTGTTATCGGTTTTAGAGCTAGAAAACCCTAATGTTATACTTAAGGCATTAGAATCAAATGCATCAGGAGTTAGTATCAACAGTCTTCTACAAAAAATCCATATAAAAATAATTCTGGTATTTATTTATATTATGGTACTAATGGATTTGTTACTTTCTAAATTTTATATTTCTAGGGGGCTAAATAGGCCTGTTAAATGTCAAGGACAATGATCACCGTCTCAATCAGGTTTTGTGTTTAGCTTCCGTAGAACCATTGTCTCTTGTTTTGCACATGGACACTGATTAAAATTATTACGGCTTTTCTCCTTCTCTTACTTAATGTTTTTACTGTGATTCACATCTTAATACATATTACTTAATACATCTTAATAAATGTCTAATGTTTTGTTCCAATTGTAAAGAAATAAAATAACGTGCATTTTACCCTACAAATAGAATTACTTCATTCTCCTGTGTACTAGAAGTTTGGCATAAATATATACTTAGGCAACACTTGGTCACTTAGGCAGTTCATACATTATTTTAACTTCTCATTTTTTTACCGAGATGTCTCTGTCTCTCTCTCTCTCTGTTTCTCTCTCTGTGTCGCTCTCTCTCTGTCTCTCTCTCCTCTCTCTCTTCTCTCTCTCCTCTCTCTCTTTCTCTCTCTCTCTCTCCTTCCTCTCTCTTCTCTCTTCCTCTCTCTCTTCTCTTCTTCTCTCTCTTCTCTCTCTCCTCTTTCCTCTCCTTCTTCTCTCTCATCTTCTTTCTCTCCTCTCTCTCTCTCTCCTCTCTCTCTCCTCCTCTTCTCTCTCCTCTCTTCTCTCCTTTCTCTCTCTCTCGTCTCTATCTTTTCTCCTCTCTCTCCTCTCTCTCTCTCCTCTCTTCTCTCTGTCCTCTCTCTCTTCCTCTCTCCCTCCTCTCTCCTTTTTTCTCTCTCTCCCTCTCTCTCTCTCTCTCTTAATTCTTTTAAGTTTATTTACTTTCTTTAACCCTAGATATAAAAAACAATTTTTGTTGAGTTTTTTGTTCAAGAAATGTAGTGAATAAAATCATGCTTCTCTGCAGATAATATCCCTTCAGACATTACAGAAGAAGAAAAAAGGGATTTTAGGAAAAGATTTGAAAAGCAAATTCTACGCCAATTGCAACAAAAAACTTATATGTGGAAAGCAATTAACTACAATGACCACCGTTCGAAAGTGTATCTGATCGGAAGATCATCAGCAGAATATGCTGTTTTAAGCCGGATCTTTAATGAAGTGAAACTACGACTTCCTGACTTTCAGCCAAAATCTCTTTTTGATTTTGGTTCAGGTGTTGGTACAGTAACTTGGTATGTGTTTTTGGGGGTTAGAGGTTGGTTTTTTGCTGGTTTATTTTTACTCAAATAATTCTCAGAAGACTTAATTCTTGTAGGGCTGCAAATCATTTTTGGGAAAATTCACTGCAAGAGTATTTTTGCGTTGATGCATCGGCTTCAATGAATGAACTTGCGAATTTAGTATTGAATGGTAAACAGACCGCTGAAAATCCGGGTAAAGGATACTTTTATCGTCAATTTCTTCCTGCCTCACACACGGTATGTATGTATATTATCTTGTCTATAAATGAATTATTTTCTGAAATGTTTAGAGTAAATTGTTTGTTTGTTTTTAGCTAAAATATGATTTAGTTGTGAGTGCATTTTCTTTATTTGAACTTCCAAATCTTAAATCAAGACTTGAAACAATTTTGAATCTTTGGAAAAAAACTCAAGGCTATTTGATTGTTGTTGAACAGGGAACAAATGCTGGATTCCAAGTAAGTTTTTTTTCACCAAATAATATGCCATAGGAGCTTTTAACACATTTTATTAACATTCTTAATTTCAGATTATCAATGAAGTGAGAGACTTCATTCTGGAATTTTATAATAATGAGGAGAATGCATTACAACCAGCAGCCCATGTATTTGCACCAGTAAGTTGGTTTTTCGACATTGATATTTTGAGTTACAACAAGTGGTGCCAAGGAAGTATGCTCATATTTTCCAGTGTCCTCATGACAAGCCATGCCCAAGATTTGCAGAAGATTACACACCCTGTAATTTTGAAGTTCCATACACAAACCCTTTTTATCCATCAACAGGAATTTTGAGGGAGAAATTTTCATATGTCGTATTGAAGAAAGGTTTGTATTTAATTACTTTCCCCTATTTCTTTACATTATGGAATTGCAATGAGAAAATATTTATTAGAGATTTTGTAGGTTTTCGTCCTGAGGATGATCTCCAGTGGCCAAGGCTTGTTAGACCTGTTCTTCCAAGAGCGAGACACGTGGTGTGTCGAATGTGTACATCTGCTGGTAGGCTGGAGGAAATAATCTTCACAGCAGCAAAGCATGGAAAGTATGTTGCTTTCTGTAATTATTTAATAGAAGATAACTGTTGATTTGATGAGAACAATATTGCGTTTTGTAATAATAAACTATGTAATTCCAGAGTAACCTACAAGTGTGCTAGAGCTTCACACTGGGGTGATCTACTGCCAATAGAAGTTAAACAACCAAGTGAATCGGAAAATGACAATGAAAATGAAACAAAATGTTTTGATGAGAAAGACAAAACATAATGACTTGTTAATTAAGAATTTGTAATAATCCAAATATGTTGTGTACATATCTTTTTAACCTTAAAGAGTTTTATTTAATTGTTTTAAATTCTTCACCTTATAGAATCTTCCCATAAGATAACCATTCTGAAGTGTCAAAAAAGTTTACTATGGTGCGCCAAGAAAGTCTCCCTTCAGTGGCACCTTGCTGGTGAGAGTGGTAGCAACAGAAATTATGTTAGCAGCACAAGCTGCAGCTTCTAACAAATGAAAACCAAAATGGTGTACTACCACTATCATAACAGATGCTGGAAATACTATCCCCTTTATTTGTTTCCCAGTTATCTGGTTGCTACCAAGACAAAAGCAATTACTTGGGGGGAGGCCCTAATGGAGCTTAGTGTGGTGAGATGTTGTGCGTATAAATATAGAAGAAGACCTGATTAAAAATCTAGCTGAAATACCTCTTGTTGCCTTAGTACTTATCATAATTATTTATTAGATAGGAAAAGACTAATGTATTCTTGCTCAGTCCTACCCAATCAGATCCACCACATTCCATCACACTCTCGTCCCAGCTTACCTTGCCCTGCCTCACCCCTAAGTTATTTTTATTTAAGAGTTTATTCTCCTACATGAAAAGGACCGGGGGAAAATATGGTTTTACAATTGAAGATGCTTGTAATATATCAACTGTATAAAAAATACTTCCTAGCTAAAATTCTAATTACCCCTGGTACATTTTGGCTGTTTGGAAATTCTTTGAAGGACAAGAGCACTTTCTAGCCATCTAAAAATCAAAGGAAAATAAAGAAAAACTAATTTAATTATATTTCTTTTGGGAACCTTCCAAATAATGACAGGAAAGAACAAAATATTTTCATCAAAATATCTTTTTCTTCACACCTTTTTTGCCCTCAAGATTCCATCAGCAAGAAAGTGACACTTCATCCTTGGTCTTTAATATGTTGTGCAATGCAATAAGTATTCCTCTTCCATACTACTGACAAAAACAGGTACAGCTACTCTAGATTTCAAACTACCTGTATCCACTCTTGGGAGGCTTTGAAGCAAGTAGCTCTTTCGAAGTATGCTTTGGATCATGAATTAAGAAGACAGCACAATGTTGAAAATATTTAAGACAGTTTGTTCTAACCTGGCTCCAAAGTTGTTTTATTTTAAAAAAAATTTAAATGAATTTGATAGTGAGCTTGTGATCTCCAATAATCCCCCACTGCACAAACTAAATAATGACAAATTTAAGAAAAACTAATGTAATGGATCAATCTAGAAATATAAAAATTATAAATAATATAATATAAAGAGACACACACACACCGATGTCATGGCTAATAAATCAACCAAAGGTAATATTAAAAAGGCCAAAAAAAGTTTATATATTTTTTTATTATAAATTAACTTATTTAAGAATTACATGACAGCTTGTCACGACACAATTATCACAAATACCTACAACAACTTGATTGGTTGTAATTGGAACTACAATATCTTTAGTGATTTTTAATACTTACCTATAATTTACCTTATTTAAAGTCAAAATCAAGAAATTTACACAAAAGTTGTATTTCCATTTGTTTAATCCATAATTGACAATTGTAATAAATCACATAGGGTCACAGATGATGCCACTCCTCTAATCAGTTTAACTATTTCTATTCACGGCAAATCTAGGGGAAGAAATAATTCCAACAAAACTGCTATCGTGTGAAAGTCAGTATTTGAGTGCTGTACAAAGCTTGTTTACTTGGTTTCAGTTCTAAAATTCTGAAATAAACGCACAGACACAGCCATACTGTGGCCTACATTCTGTATGCCCTAGGCTACAGTACACGCTGTGGCCCAGGTGTGACTCAATTTTTAAACGTGTATTATCTTGCAAAATGGAAAAAGGTGAGGTATCATAAAAATTAAATGAATTAAATAAATGTTCACATTATAATAAAAAAAATATGGGCCTCATTTAACTTCATTGGCCTTCTTGGGCTCTATGGCCCCAGAGCCATGAACCAGCTGCTCTCCCCCCTCCCCTCCCTTACATACACACTCCTCAGGCCTGCTATCCATTCACCCAATGGAGTCCGAGTCTTTTAGATCTAGTTCTGCATTGCTTTCCCTTGCCTGGACAACTCTGCATCAAAAATAGGTGGGTTAATGTATGTGTCAACATTTTATAACCTTTTAAGACTGCCGCAATGAAAGGTATGAAATGTTGACTGAAACATTGGTGCAACAAGTTTTGATGCAGCGTGCCCTGGACATTGAAGAGCATTGAAATTCCAGATTCAATTTTCCTCTTAAAATTCATTTTCAGTGATAATTATGAACCTTGTTGCAAATACACTGTACTCTAAGTGTATAGCCTATAATGTGGAGCAATATTGAAACAAAAAATATTACTCCAAAAAGGAAGAAGAAATGTGCATTTGTAATATTATGGAACCTCAATTTTTTAACAATGTTGAACAGTTCATAACTCTTTTTCTGAAATATTATTTGCAAAGATATTTTCTCTTTTGTCAATATTAGACAATTGCACTCTGGTCTCCCAAAATGTCTAATCTACCCCCTCCCAGGTTCAAAAACATTTATTTTTTAATCAAAGTTTATTCAAAAATACATCTTTTTTTTTCACTCAAAAAACATAAATTAGTATTTCATTATGCAGCTGGATTGCCTTAAAATAAATTCAAAAAGTCTACAATGTTTTTCTTAAAAATGTGTGCAATGCAGTGTGCATGTCTTATAAAGGACAGTAATATGTAAATAATGTTTTTCTGTAGTTAAAAGTTTCACTCAAATACGACAAACCTCATAAATTTTTACAATTCGTTATCATACATATAAAGAGAGGAGTACCAACTGAGGAGGATGAGGAGAAGGTTCTTTTGAAGCATAATTTACTTGGAAAAGTCACTGGCGTTTAAAAAAATTAAAATCTGGTAAGAAGGGTTAACAGAAGTAGTACATTTCATGACTATGTCTTAATCAAGGGCGGATCCAGAGACAAATTTTGGGAGGATAATTAAAAATGTTTTGGTCGAATGTGTCATTACAGATTTTATAAAATGCCGCAGGCTACACTTAGCTCATGCTGTGATACGATTTTATTCGTTTTAATTATCCGAAAATATTTTTCTTGAAGTTTCGTGACATGTTAAAATTAATAGTTACTGAAAAATTTTAGGGTAGGGGAAATTTCTCTCCCCTTGAATCCATACCCATCTGTATTAAACAAGAAAATAGCGAAGAATGCGAAGTAATATACACGAACAACAAACAGAATTAACCTTGGTGTAAAGCTATTTATTTAAAGAGGTTCGGGAAGTCTCTCCTCAGTAAAACTCGGAGTTACGCACCTTTCCACTACTTATTGTTCTACGAAATGTCCCGCGCAGTAAACACCTTGAAAGAGAGGCATGTCTCGCGAAGACAAGGGGAAATTCCCTTTTAATTCTCCCGCTCTCTGCCCGTCAACAACTGCGGGTGGTAAGCGGGGACGAGAGCGATTAGGGTGAGGCAATGGCCCTCGTATCCTAGGGACTGGAGCCCAGTACTTTGCGCGGTTGTGCTCGAAGAGCATCAACTGACACCGACACCGAAAGCATGTAAACATTATATTGAAGGTCAGGAGAAAATGACACTGGCTGCCAATTGCAGCAGATTTTTATGGAGAGGACATAGCGGAAAAGGCAACATTTTTGCGCATGCAAAGAGGATTTCTTTCTCTACGCGTTTCAGCTTTAGTAAGCCGATTAGCATAACCTCTATTATCAGTTACCTGATGTTTCATTGGCTTCCAAAGAGGTACGATAACCACAATGTTATAATGTACTCTTTTCACTATTTCAAGTAGGTTCAATCTGCTTACAACAAGCCATGTCGGAAGGCAAAGGCGTGCACAAGGATTTCATTCAAAATCATACAGAAAATTAAAATCGATTAAACCTCTTCTATTGATTAAAAAATCAATGAATTAATTTGATTGCAAATTTTTGACGAATATTTGTTATTATATGAAGCGTGAATATTCGCAGTTAAAGTAGCCTAAGAGGACTTCCCTTTTATTTATTTCAGCACTATCTACCACAAATCGAAAAGAAAGGTGTACTTTGGTCAGAAATTATGTACTTTTATTGCAGAATACGAATTTGCAATAATAAGAGAATTCCATTTGAAATTCTAAAGCTGCCCCACACTTATGACACGAGGTGGACGGAGACGTGTTTTTAGCACAAAAATAGAAAATATTAACTTTTTATTGATATTTCAAACATTTCGACGTCTGAATTTAAATGGTCCTCCCATTATACTATTATTATAGTTTTAGAAATTTCTTTTGTAATTGTTTTGAAAAATTAATTATAAAATCTGCAAACGATCCAGGTGTGTAAGCCGATATCCGAAGGTGTGGACACTCAACGTTCAAATAGACACTTTGCGAGCGCATCGCATTTCCGGGGCCGAATCTTCCCATCCAGTTCCGTTCCGAACCGTAGTCAGTAGCCGCACATCTACGCAATCGCAGCGAGGACGTGAGTAATCGCGCCGACTTTCTCCGAACAGCTTTTGCTTTCTCCGTGCGGCGACGGAGGCGGCGGCGGCGGCGCCGGCGGCGGCTCCTTGAAATCCGTAATCGCTGTCCAACGCACCCCTCAACCATCGACGCGCGGCACGTGACGAAACGGCGCTCTTGGATGCCATCGTGGCACGAAAAACCGTTTCGTGACTTAGACAGGAAAACAACGAAGGAAATGTATATAACCATTCCCACTTCCCGCGTTCCTTGAGAAAACGCCGCCTTTTGATATTACATAACGAGGAAGCCGGCAACCTACTTTCAGTATCGCGGCAATGTTTCGGAAGGAAAGGTTACAAAGGTGGTACAATTGCCCCCATCACGAGCGCAGCCTTGCGCAAGGGCGGAGCTCCCGGGTGACAGCGCTGGCGCGAAGCGTTCGGCGTCGGGACATCACGAAGAACGCGACCAGCTGACGACTGTACAATGACGTCCTTACATTGACATTCAGTGTGACGCCCATTAAAATAATAAATAAACGAAGTGAGACACGGAGAGAAATGGGGGGAGTCAGGAGGGTCAAGATCCCGCGGATCAATTGGTGGCAGGATGCGTAAGCTGCAAAGAACGACAGGAGCCTGAAAGGAGCCGTCTGGCGGATAAAATATGGTCCAAGGTCTTTGTTGATCAAAGGTAGCACTTAGCCAGGAACTCTGCTTGTCCTGGGCATACGTGATGACATTAATCACGCTACACTTCAGCGGGCGATTATCCGCCGTTCACACAGCTTTTACACCAAGTTTGCGTTTGCACACTTCTTCGGCTTCGCCTCAGACGAAAGCATCTTAGACGGAAGAGCCGGTCGGGGCGGGGTGCACTAATCACTGGGTCACCATTCGCCGCTGGGCGTTGGTGCGGGCGGGCGCTAGCCGACCGCTGTGAGCGCGGCGGGGGCTGGAGTAGCGGCCGGCGCGGGGGTTGTCGCGGGGGTGGTAGCGGGGGCGGGCGAGGCCTTGTCCGCCAGCTGCACCCTGAGCAGCAGCGGTGCTTCGTCGCCGCCGGCGGGGGCGTCCACCCGGAG